CCCCAAAACCCCAAAACCCCAAAACCCCAAAACCCCGTTTAACTCTCGAGATGTTGAAAGATTATTTAATAATATGGGTGCCTCTAATACTAAAATTCAATCAAGCTTCTGATGTGCAGTAGAGAGAAGAGATTGTAAAGATAAAGGTGATACTTCAAGTAAAACAAAGATGAAGTGAGTGGAAGATCACCAGATCGTGGATACTACTTCTAAAGGTAATGATTACTTTAGCTTTGTTAGTTTTCAGAATCTTCCAGGGTTTTAGGTTTCTTTTGATTACATCCCAAGTAATAGTTACACTTTATTTTTGGTCTTAATTTAGCTACTTGATATTAGATTATAGAGCCTATTTCTTTGTAAAATAATCAACTTACTTTGCCAACTCAGCAAGGATAAGAGATTTTAAAAGCTATCTCCCAAACTCTACTACTCATTTTCTCTTGTCTTCTTATCAAGGCTTGGTAAAATAGTGCTATATCAGGGTTAATTCTGGGAATTTTCTGTGCTCCTTGTTGCAGTTGTAATAATAGGACTCACCATAATCGCAAATGACGCTAGAGAATTAAAGCTTTCACTTAGAAATAGCTTCAGCATTGTAGGTCATATTTAAATAAAGCTTGGCTTGTTAAGAAAAGTTGATATTTCCTGCATATTTTGATCGGAGATTCATTAACCACACTTTTCTCCAAATAGCTGCATTTTTTCGGAATGGGATAGTAAACGAACTATGACTTGAGCTAGTTAACGATGTGATGATAAATCATTTGGTTGTCGCTTTGCTAAGTTCCAGGCTTTATAGAGACATTTTGGATTTTATTCCTCTTTTGAAATGCCGAAATCCTGATGGATCATAGAAATAATTATTTCAATATTTTCATAATTTGATTCGCTTTCGGAATGAGTGCTTAATTTTATGGTAACGTTTTAATTAATTCAGAATCATAAGACACTTTATTTGCTTACAAGTGAGAGCTTGAGAGTGCTAAAACAATTTTTTGTTATTATCTAAAAATTTTGGAGATTATAAAAAAATGATTCTTACATCATTTATAATTTCGTTTTGTTATTAATCATTATGGTCGCTTGTCTTCGGCTGAGTTCATTAATCCAATAGTCTTCAAAAATATTTGAAAGAATTCGATCTCATCTAGTAGCTCTAATCCTACACACGGACTTGAAAATTGCACTCTTTGTGTATTATATCTTTCAAATTCAATTTTTCTGTGCCTATGTTTCAAATCAAGGATTCTTCCATTATTCAGCTGTATATTAATCACTTTTTGTAGCCAAATTAGCTGAGCAAGAAAAGGTGTGAAATAAACAGTCCTCAAAAGAGTCTAAGAAGAGACTCACTAGAGCGAAGCCTAAAAGGTATATTGTTACTAATTTAAGTTTAGTCAGGAGATTATGACTAAAACTAAAAAAAAGTAAGCAAATGTTTTTATATTTTGTTAATAATCTTTAATAGAAACAAGGCTTCAAAGAAATCTCAGAACAAAGCTAGCAAAAGAGAATCAATAACAGGCTGGGATAAGCTTATGAGTAGAATAGAGCTGAGCAAATTCAGCCAAAAGACCAGTCCTGCTGAAATCAGAGAAGCTGGACTGTCAAGCACCTCAGCTTCCAGATCGTAAGTCTAATTGCCTCTTCCTCTAATTCCACATAGAAGCCTTCATAAGACCACTTCCTTTACCTCAAAACCCTCTACATTCTCCAAAGGTACCCTCCCTCTAACCCATAGACCCCAACTTCGACTTCTTCAACGCCTTAAGCGAGTACTCATCTCCTTCCAAAAGGTCCAAACCCAAAAACACCCCCCTCAAGATCGACAGCTGCTACCTCACTAAGACCAAATCAAAAACTTATCCTCCCAAAAATTGCGCTCAGTCCAAAATCTTAACTTAGCCTTAAAATTTCAATTGCTTCCCCTCCTTCAGGGGTTTTGGGGTTTTGGGGTTTTGGGG